ACAGCAGAGTACAGTAGAGTCCACATTGAGGCTATCTGCTGGGAAGAACTTTCCAAATCTCTATTCATTAAGAACTATTACATATCTAGATGTGTGGGTTAAGGAGAGAGAAGCAGAAGACCTGTATAAACTCAGTCCAGTACCTCTATTACTGGGAATGTTTTGAAGTCCGTAGAACTGTACTTCTTAGAACGTAGGCGAGAAAGATACATCATAATCTACACCTGGAAGATACTGGAGGGATTGGTACCGAACCTGCACACCTGCTTATAAACAGATGAGGCTTGAAGACGGTGCAGGATACCTCCAGTGAAAGGCAAAAGAACGATGAATACACTGAGAAATAACTCAATAAGTGTGAAGGGACCACGAATCTTCAACACTCTCCCTTCATGCATAAAGGGACTCACCAACAAACCTCTAGCTATCAACAAGAGGGAACTGGACAAATTCTTCACAACAGTTCCTGATCAGCCGGGTTGTGGTGCACACGCTGGACTGCAGGAGGCGGGCACAAACAGTTTGATCGATCAGGCCAGCAACCAGGAGGCCTAGTTTGGGACAGTGCAGAGAGGGAAGTAACCTCCGGAAGCCACTACAGGTAATCAAGTGGAAACCTTCCTTAGCTTCCTAACAGCGGTGTCTCTCATATCTCTCAGTTGTATTTCTCAATGGTACAAGGAGTCACTTTCTCCGTCTTAAAGACAACTGAGACACTTATCTTCTAAGAAACTCAGGAAACACGCAACAGAAAATTCTCAGAATATTACTGAAATCCTAAAGAAAGTGAAGAGCATCACACTAGAGAGAGAGAAAGAGAGAGAGAGAGAGAGAGAGAGAGAGAGAGAGAGAGAGAGAGAGAGAGAGAGAGAGAGAGAGAGAGAGAGGAGAGAGAGAGAGAGAGAGAGAGAGAGAGAGAGAGAGAGAGAGAGAGAGAGAGAGAGAGAGAGAGAGAGAGAGAGAGAATACGTCTCCTGATCATGGAGTCGCAAATAAGAGAAAAATGGGGAAGCCACCTTAGAGAACACCACTGAGAACCTCACAATCCAAAAACACCAAGAAACCACTCCATTGCCACTTAAACCACTTCAGTGCCAACTACACCAACAACAACAACACACCATGTACTTATATTAATAACAAGCAACTTAATGACTAGTCCAAATGAGGATCACCATCAGGCAACTTACCATTAAACACTTCAGCAATAAAGTGCCTCTTGGAACCCACTTACGAAATCTCCAACCTAGACAGACCTTCTAAGTAGACAGTGGTGACGAGAATGAACCATCACTCTAGATTACTGAGGTACTTGACACTGGCAAACTCATGAGGATTATACAGTGGAGTTGTTATTCCAGTAAGAGGTAGTTCCAGGATACTTCATGGTCGTAGGGTTTTGCATTACCATTCACAGGATGGGCATGATGTGCATAATAAGCTAGCCACTACCCTCCACAGGATGGATATGATGTGCGCAATAAACGGGTCATTACCATCCACAGGATGGATATGAGGTGCACAGTAAACTAGCCACTACCCTCCACAGGATGGATACGGATACACTGTATACCAGCCACATACGGCCAAAATTTAGTTCCAAACTAATTCCGCAACATGTACTCCTAAGTAGACATAAGAACATAAGAACACAAGAACATAAGAAAGGAGGAGCACTGCAGGAGGCCTGTTGGCCCATACTAGGCAGGTCCTTTACAATTCATCCCACTAACAAAACATTTGCCCAACCCAATTTTCAATGCTACCCAACAGTGGAAGTACCTCAACATTCTGCACACCCTTCTGCACCCTAGTCAGTTCCAAGTGCATGCAGTTACTGTACGTCACACACACACACACACACACACACACACACACACACACACACACACACACACACACACACACACACACACACACACACAGAGGAGACAGAAATAATGGGAAGAACAGAACGAGTCCTTGGTTCACCCAAAGGTGTAGGGAGGCAAAAACTAGGTGTACTAGAGAATGGAAAAGGTACAGAAGACAGAGAACTCAGGAAAATAAAGAAATTAGCCGAAGAGCCAGAAACGAATATGCACAGATAAGAAGGGAGGCTCAGAGACAATATGAAAATGACATAGCATCAAAAGTAAAGACTGACCCGAAGCTGTTGTACAGCCACATCAGGAGGAAAACAACAGTCAAGGACCAGGTAATCAGACTGAGGAAGGGTGATGGGGAATTCACAAGAAACGACCAAGAGGTATGTCAGGAGCTCAACACAAGATTTAAAGAGGTATTTACAGTGGAAACCAATAGGACTCCAGGAAATCAGAGCAGGGGGGCACACCAGCAAGTGCTGGATGAGGTACATATAACCAAGGAGGAGGTGAAGAAGCTGCTATGCGAACTTGACACCTCAAAGGCGGTGGGACCAGACAACATCTTTCCGTGGGTCCTTAAAGAGGGAGCAGAGATATTGTGTTAGCCATTAACAAAGATCTTCAACACATCATTTGAAACTGGGCAACTCCCTGAGGTATGGAAAATGGCAAATGTAGTCCCAGTTTTTAAAAAGGGAGACAGACATGAGGCACTAAACTACAGACCTGTATCATTAACATGTATAGTATGCAAGGTCATGGAGAAGATCATCAGGAGGAGAGTGGTGGAGCACCTGGAAAGAAACAAGTGTATAATTGACAACCAGCACGGTTTCAGGGAAGGAAAATCCTGTGTCACAAACCTACTAGAGTTTTATGACAAGGTGACAGAAGTAAGACAAGAGAGAGAGGGGTGGATCGACTGCATTTTTTTTGGACTGCAAGAAGGCCTTCGACACAGTTCCTCACAAGAGGTTACTGCAAAAGCTAGAGGATCAGGCAAAACATAACAGGAAAGGCACTGCAATGGATCAGAGAATACCTGACAGGGAGGCAACAACGAGTCATGGTACGTGACGAGGTGTTAGAGTGGGCGCCTGTGACAAGCGGGGTTCCACAGGGGTCAGTCCTAGGACCTGTGCTGTTCTTGGTATATGTGAACGACATAACGGAAGGGATAGACTCAGAAGTGTCCTTGGTTTGCAGATGATGCGAAGTTAATGAGAAGAATCAAATCGGATGAGGATCAGGCAGGACTACAAAGAGACCTGGACAGGCTACAAGCCTGGTCCAGCAACTGGCTCCTTGAATTTAACCCTGCCAAATGCAAAGTCATGAAGATTGGGGAAGGGCAAAGAAGACCGCAGACACAATATAGTTTAGAGGGCCCAAAAAGACTGCAAACCTCACTCAAGGAAAAGATCTGGGGGTGAGTATAACACCGAGCATATATCTCCTGAGGCGCACATCAATCAGATAACTGCTGCAGCATACGGGCGCCTGGCAAACCTACGGATAGCGTTCCGATACCTCAGTAAGGATTCGTTTAAGACTCCATATACCATTTACGTCAGGCCCATACTGGAGTATGCAGCACCAGTTTGGAATCCACACCTAGTCAAGCACGTCAAGAAATTAGAGAAAGTGCAAAGGTTTGCAACAAGACTAGTCCCAGAGCTACGGGGATTGTCCTACGAAGAAAGGTTGAGGGAAATCGGCCTGACGACACTGGAGGACAGGAGGGTCAGGGGAGACATGATAACGACATATGAAATACTGCACAGAATAGACAAGGTGGACAAAGACTGGATGTTCCAGAGATGGGACACAGAAACAAGAGGTCACAATTGGAAGTTGAAGACTCAGATGAATCAAAGGGATGTTAGGAAGTATTTCTTCAGTCATAGAGTAGTCAGGCCGTGGAATAGCCTAGAAAGTGACGTAGTGGAGGCGGGAACCATACATAGTTTTAAGGCGAGGTATGATAAAGCTCATGAGGCAGGGAGAGAGAGGACCTAGTAGCAATCAGCGAAGAGGCGGGGCCAGGAGCTGTGAATCGACCCCTGCAACCACAAATAGGTGAGTACACACACACACACACGAGTACAATCATGGAAGTCAGTCTTACAGGGAGACCTCAACGCTTCCCACCCCAAAATATTTGCCTGTGGACCCCAGCCAAGATATTATAAGTAAGTATATTTAGGCAGAGGTACACATAAGTACAATTATCATACATAGTAACTTATGTGTAACATACCTAAGAAAACTCCCCAAAAAGTCAAAGTAAGGGATATGACTGATAAATGAGGTCTGGAATGACGGAGAATAAAGGAAAATTGGGGGACGTGCAGAGTTAAAATATCGTAGAAGAGAATGGAGAGATAGGACAAGTTAACACAGTAATAGGAACATATCAAGAAGATGGATAAAGAGACAGAAGACAAAGAAGTAGTATAAAGTTATTTATTTTAATGAGGCTTCATACACAGGTTTATTTTTATGAGGTTTCACCCTTATAAGGTTTATTTTTACGAGGTTTAATCCATAGGTTTATTTTACGAGGTTTCATCCCCAGGGGTTTTATTTTAAGAGGTTTCACCAACAGTGGGACTTTATTATACTAGGCTTTATCCACAGTGGGCTTTATAAATCCCTTAATAAGGACTCACTGTGGGTGAAACCTCGTATATTATAGCCTCGCTGTGAGTAAAACCTCGCAAAATGAAGCCTTCCATCCTCATGCAGATAATATCGTTGCGACTATCACTTGTCTGCTGACGTCACTGACTTAACAAAAACTTACGGGTTTAGAGCTTCCTTTTGAAGGCCATAAAAACCCGGTCATTTGATCTTTACTTCTGAGAGAAATGGAATATAATCCTTTACTGGGAACGTCTGTCAAGATCGTTAATAATGATTATCGTGCTGGAATTTGTGTTGTATTTTAGCACTGTAATGTTTTTACATCGATTATCCTAGTATTGCGATGCCTGTACGACGATTCTTCTAGCATTGTGATGCCTGTACGTCACTTACCCTAACACTGCAATGCCTGTACGTCGCTTATCCTAGCACTACGATGCCTGTATGTCGCTTATAATAGCATTGCGATGCCTGTACGTCACTTACCCCAACATTGCGATGCTTGCGATGACGACTGTGACGAAGAGGATACGTTGGTTGAGCACCACATCGTTTCTGATCTCCAACACGGTACTTCCCAGCTCGGTCAGGTCTTGCGACACTTCTGACGCTACTGTCTTCCTCTCCACGGGCACTTCCAGCACTGCCGAGACTTTGGGGGGCGTGGTGATCACTTCCCGTGTGGAGGCGTGGGGGATGTAGGCCGTGGCTGTTGGGGGGAAAGGCTGTCGGCGTGTTGGAGGCTGCATGGCTGTCACTGCTGGACTAGCAGCCACCGCTTCTTGCTTCGGTAAGAGCTCCGCCTCTCCGGCCTCCGGTTGTTCTATCGCTGGGTCGTTCATGCGACTTGGAAGCTGGACAGGCTGAGAGGGAGTGGTTGTGAGGGTGGTCGTGATAGTGGTGGAAGGTGTGGTGGTGGTAGTAGTAGTAGTGGTGGAAGTGGTGGTTGGAAGTGACACCTGTTTTAAGGTGGGTTCAGGTTCTGGCTCTGGTGCTGGAGCCTCTGTTGTTCTTACGTTCTTTCTGGGTTTCTGATCCTTCTTCTTCTTCTTTCTCTCTGATCTCCTGTTTTCAGCGGCCTCTGTCTCTTCCCGCGTCACGGTACGTTCTTCCATGTGCCGTTCTTCTTCCACTAGCTGCTGAACGGTGTGATAGAAGTACATGTCGCCGATGTAATCTGTGATGAGATAGGTGATATCATCTTCCTCGACACACTGAAATTCACGATTATTGTCACTATGACAGAGACACAAGTCCTTACACCAGTAAACTTTTGCATCGAGAGTCCAATTGTGCTTCGCCATTTTCATCGCTATTTTCTTGCTGATTCCCAAAAACTCGTACATCTCAGAAGGTTCGAAACACCGTACTGCCACCTGGGTTTCATACCTACACATACACATAGTACTGCACCAGTGTAGTGCTTCCTTGCCACTCTCACTAGGCTGGGGAGATACACCCACTACACACAAGGCTACAAACACAGGCAGAATACCCCACATGTTGTCTACAGCAAGTCAACAACTCTACTTTTCCCGTAGAGAGATGACAGAGTCTCACAGTTTGTGTAGAGGGTTGGGCAGGATGTGAACAGCACTGGTGGTGGGTACAGACTGGGTTGGTGGCTGCCACACTACTGACTTGGGGTCTGGCGTGGAGGGCCAAGCCAGGGCTCAAGATGGCCCTCTCTCCTACCCTCACATTACAAGGTCACACCTATTCCCTGCAGCTCATTGGCTTGAAGAACAAATTCTCTCTAGATTATTAACCCGGAGGGTTAGTACCTGAAATAACCCAATGAAGCCACTGACATAAGACTGTCTGGCTTATTTCCACTGGAATGCTTGTACCACAAGCTTTTTCTGTTTAACCTCAACGCTACATTCGTTTTTAGCGCTTTCCTTTCACTCTAATTAACAATGATAGTAGTAGTAGTAGTAGTAGTAGTAGTAGTAGTAGTAGTAGTAGTAGTAGTAGTAGTAGTGGTAGTAGTAGTAGTAGTAGTAATAATAATAACAGCAATAATAATAAATAATAATAATAATAATAATAATAATAATAATAATAATAATAATAATAATAATAATTATTATTATTATTATTTTATTATTTTTATTATTATTTTTTTTTTTTTTTTTTTTTTTTATCACACCGGCCGATTCCCACCAAGGCAGGGTGGCCCAAAAAAAGAAAAACTTTCACCATCTTTTCACTCCATCACTGTCTTGCCAGAAGGGTGCTTTACACTACAGTTTTTAAACGCAACATTTAACCCCCCCTCCTTCAGGTGCAGGCACTGTACTTCCCCTCTCCGGACTCAAGTCCGGCCTGCCGGTTTCCCTGAATCCCTTCATAAATGTTTCTTTGCTCACATCCAACAGCACGTCAAGTATTAAAACCATTTGTCTCCATTCACTCCTATCAAACACGCTCAAGCATGCCTGCTGGAAGTCCCAAACCCCTCGCACCAAAACCTCCTTTACCCCCTCCCCCAACCCTTCCTGGGCCCGCCCCTCCCCCCGCCTTCCTTCCACTAAACTGAACACTTTTGAAGTCATTCTGTTTCGCCCCATTCTCTCTACATTCCAAACCCCTCACAACCCCCCCTCAGCCTCTGGACAACGTTTTGGAAATTCCCGCCCCCCTCTCCTAATTTTCCAAACTACAAATTTCTCTGCATTATTTTAAACCCCCACAATTCCCCCTCAGACGGACATCTCCCTGCCTCCACCTTCCCCTCGCTGCAACTTCATCCCCCGTTACACCCATAAAAGACGGGAAAAATATACCCTACATTCCCCTCTTTGCCCCCAAGGACAAAGTTCTTTGTTCCCCACGACCCCTAAGGCACCACTCATCTTTTTCCCCTAAATTTTCTATGATCACCTCATCTTTTAGCCCATCCGCTGACCGTCCACCCCCAAAATATCTGAATCTTCACCTCCCTTTCCTTCCCCCCAAATCTGATATTCAATCTTTATCCCCTAATCTTTTTGTTTTCCTCTAAAACCCTTTCTCTTTCCTGTTTCACCTTTTTTTTTCTTCTTTTACACCCTACCAAAAAATTTATCCCCCAATCTCTGCAACTTCTCTTTGAATTCCCAAAAGGGACGTTCATACAAAAAGCCGCTGTGACAAACTCCCACTTTGTGGTGCTTTTATCTTTTAACTCCACGCCTCTTGCCCAAAACCCCGATTTATTTCTTTCAACCCCCCTATAAATAATTTTTAAAAACCACGGGACACACACACCTTGTTAAGGCCTACTTTTTCTGGGGAAAAAAAAACCCCCTTTCCTACATACTCTAAATTGAGCCTCACTATCCCGTAAAAACTCTTCACGTTTCAGTAACCCCCCCCTACACCAACACTTAAAAACCCGCCCATTGCCCCCCCATCCACCCTGTATAGCCTTTTCCAAACCATAAATGCCCAAAAAACCTCTTTAGCCTTATTAAATACGTTCACTTTTTGTTTCACTGAAAACCCCCTGGTCCACACACCCCCTAAACCTTTTCCCAAAGCCTCCTTGTTTTACTGCTATCCCCATTCTCCCTCTTTCCCTTAAATTTTTTCATTATAACTCTACCATTCACTTTTCCCGGGACCTCAACAACTTATCCCCCTATAATTTTTGCACTCTCTTTTATCCCTTTGCCTTTATACAAAGGAACTATGCATGCTCTCTGCCAATCCCTAGGTACCTTACCCTCTTCCATACATTTATTAAACAATTGCACCAACCACTCCAAAACTATATCCCCACCTGCTTTTAACATTTCTATCTTTATCCCATCAATCCCGGCTGCCTTACCCCTTTCATTTTACCTACTGCCTCACGAACTTCCCCCACACTCACAACTGGCTCTTCCTCACTCCTACAAGATGTTATTCCTCCTTGCCCTATACACGAAATCACAGCTTCCCTATCTTCATCAACATTTAACAATTCCTCAAAATATTCCTTCCATCTTCCCAATACCTCTAACTCTCCATTTAATAACTCTCCTCTCCTATTTTTAACTGACAAATCCATTTGTTCTCTAGGCTTTCTTAACTTGTTAATCTCACTCCAAAACTTTTTTTATTTTCAACAAAATTTGTTGATAACATCTCACCCACTCTCTCATTTGCTCTCTTTTTACATTGCTTCACCACTCTCTTAACCTCTCTCTTTTTCTCCATATACTCTTCCCTCCTTGCATCACTTCTACTTTGTTAAAAACTTCTCATATGCTAACTTTTTCTCCCTTACTACTCTCTTTACATCATCATTCCACCAATCGCTCCTCTTCCCTCCTGCACCCACTTTCCTGTAACCACAAACTTCTGCTGAACACTCTAACACTACATTTTTAAACCTACCCCATACCTCTTCGACCCCATTGCCTATGCTCTCATTAGCCCATCTATCCTCCAATAGCTGTTTATATCTTACCCTAACTGCCTCCTCTTTTAGTTTATAAACCTTCACCTCTCTCTTCCCTGATGCTTCTATTCTCCTTGTATCCATCTACCTTTTACTCTCAGTGTAGCTACAACTAGAAAGTGATCTGATATATCTGTGGCCCCTCTATAAACATGTACATCCTGAAGTCTACTCAACAGTCTTTTATCTACCAATACATAATCCAACAAACTACTGTCATTTCGCCCTACATCATATCGTGTATACTTATTTATCCTCTTTTTCTTAAAATATGTATTACCTATAACTAAACCCCTTTCTATACAAAGTTCAATCAAAGGGCTCCCATTATCATTTACACCTGGCACCCCAAACTTACCTACCACACCCTCTCTAAAAGTTTCTCCTACTTTAGCATTCAAGTCCCCTATTATTATTATTATTATTATATTTAGGGGGCTAATTCCTCGGATCAAGAGCCCCTCAGCAGCATCAAGGAACTTCCCCTGAGGGAATCACGTGGCCTCAGAAACCAGGACCTCCTGCGAGGTCAGGACTCGTGAGCAGGATCTCCTGTGAAGCCAGGACCTCCTGTGAGGTTAGAACCTCCTGTGAGGCCAGGACCTTCTGTGAGGCTAGGACCTCCTGAAAGGTTAGAACCATCTGTGAGGTTAGGATCTTCTGTGAGACCAGGACCTTCTGTGAGGTGGCCAGGACCTCCTGTGAATTTAGAACCTCCTGTGAGGCCAGAACCTTCTGTGAGATCAGGACCTCCTGTGAGGCTAGGACCTCCCGTGGGGCCAGAACCTCTTGTGAGGCCAGGACCTTCAGTGAGGCCAGGACCTCCTGTGAGGTTAGAACTTCCTGTGAGACCAGGACCTCCTGTGGAGCCAGAACCTCTTGTGAGGCCAGGATCTCCTGTGAGACTAGGAACTTCTACGCGGCCAGGACCTCCTGGGAGGCCAAGACCTTCTGTGAGGCCAGGACTTTCTATGAGGCCAAGACCTTCTATGAGGCTAGGACCTCCTATGAGGCCAGGGCCTTCTATAAAGCCAGGACTTTCTATGAGGCCAAGAGC